CATTAGAACATCGACAACCAGTTCGCATGCCAATATTGGCAGCAGGTCTCTGGGATGAAAATTTCCAAAAAATCATCATGTCGTACAGCTGAGATTCACAGATCTCAATTACTCGACATCACTATACTCACCATCATCATCAGGAATCATAATTGTACCTTCATTTTCACTATCATACTGCCCTAAGGTATCGTCAACATCATTGTACATTTCATGGTCGTCTTCAACTTCCAATTCCCGTTGCCTACGAATCTGATCAACTAGGGATGCCTCTACACTGATACCGTCTTCTTCGTTGGTTGGTCGTTTCGTCGTAATCAAGATCCTTCATGAGCTTGAAGTTGAGATATTTCCTGCTCATCATCTTGGTATGTCAGATCAATCCCTCCCTCTTGCTTGTCATCATTTTCCACTTCATTCACATTCCACAAGTGCCGATGCGAAAATTTTTGAACAACATTCCAGGGTTCACCATGCTTGTTATCATCCAAGTAGAAAACCTTTGTTGCCTGTGTGGCAAGGATGAGAGCATCATCCTTGTACCAACAACTGCCATGGCTGATGCTTTTGAAATATCCATCATTCTTCATCCTAGACTTCTTGCTACATGTATCAAACCAATCACACTTGAATAACACCACTTGTCCTTTGATTTGTTGGTGTCGAGTTATCTTCGCAACTCTATTACTTCTTTCAGCTGACCATAAACGTCTATATCTTCTCCATTATGTGACCCCTCAACCATGACTCCACTATTATGTGTTCTTCTACTGCTCTCACGGTCCACGGTGTGATATCGGACACCATCAACAATACATCCTGAAAATATACGAAGTCTAAGATCTGGTTGACTTGCCAATGCATATAGTTCTTCATTGATTTGTTCTCCATTCACAAACCTTCGGGTAGCAAGCTGCAGTAAAAATATATATATTAGCAAGGTTTCCTAAACTGAAAATACTTAAATAATGACATATTATCTCACAGCCAAAACTGAAAATAATTACTCACATGTTTCCTAAACCATCCTAGAAATTCCTTAGCAAGGTTCCCCCCAACATCACGATTGCCAGCAGTCTCTAACTCATTCCTGCAAATAGGTGCGCAATTCCGATGTGAGAGCTAAAATTTTATATGATAGACAAATTATAACATTGTGTTGCTTGCATTGAAGGACATACTCTATAAATGGCTCGACCTCCGTAGTATTGTTGAGGACATACCAAACCATCCTGTCATAATCCTTCTCATCATATGTAAGCCTCGGTGCCCCCAACAGATTTGCTCCATGCTGGAAAATAGATAAACCACATGTACTCATAGGAACACGCTCTCTGTTCCTGCCCTCACGATTGTGCCTAGTGTCAACATCACCAAATACCTTGAGCAAGCATTCAAGCACTCGTTTGAGACATATGCCTCTGCAATGGAGCCCTCAGGCCCTGCCATGTTCCTCACAAAACGTTTCAAGGTCAACAACCTACGTTCTACAGGGTACATCCATCCGTATTGAACTGGACCTCTTAGGAGAGCATCATCGATTAAATGAATGGACAAGTGCACCATCACATCAAAAAAGGCAGGCATGAAAATTTTCTCAAGCTTGCACAATATTATTGGGATTTCACCTCTCATCCTGTTCAAGACATCTAACTTCAATTTCTTAGCACAAATTTGCTGGAAAAAGTTACCTAATTCAGCAATTGCTTCATATATTTCCTTATGCATGATTCCTCGGAGACCGGCTGGTAATATCCTTTGTAGAAGGATATGACAATCGTGAGTTTTCAATGCTTGTAATTTGCATTCATCAACACTAACACACCTTGCTAAGTTGGAGGCATATCCATCTGGGAATTTGACATTCTTTATGAAAGCACAGAAAACACTTATCTGCGCTTTACTCATCTTATATGGAGCGTGTGGAACAGAGTATGAATTACCATCATCCTTCAATTGTAAATTTTTCCTTATGCCCATATCTTCTAAATCGAGCCTCGCAGTAATAGAGTTCTTTGACTTGCCTGCGATGTCAAGAAATGTACCGAGAAGGGCCTCACATATATTTTTCTCGATGTGCATAACATCAAGATTGTGACGCAGCTTCAAAGTAGACCAATATGGTAAATCCCACAGAGTCGACCTGCGCTTCCAGCATTGACCTTCTTCTACCCTCTTTCTCTTTTTGTTATTAGGATGGTCCCCAGGTTTTACATGTTCCACCCTTGCCAATTGCTGCATCAACTCACCCTGAGTAAATTCTTCAGGCTGTGCACGTTCTTCAGTCTGACCATCAAAATCTTTCTTTCTCCTCCAAATATGGTCCGCTGGAAGAAAACGGCGATGGCCAATGTAGCAAATCTTGTTCCTAAGTCTTTTGGAGCAAGGATTTTTATCACAGCGAACACAAGCATAGTAACCTCTAGTTATTCTACCTGAAAGTGTGCTCAATGCTAGATAATCATGAATGCACCAGATGACTACAGCGTGAAGATCAAATTCTTTTCCAGTCAATGCATCCAAAGTAGGGACACCACTCTAGAGATTTAACAATTCTTCAACCAGTGGCTGCAGGAAGAGATCCATATCCTTTCCTGGGCATGCCGGACCAGGAATAAGTAGGCACATCATGAAGTTGGATTGCTCCATACATTGCCATGGAGGAAAGTTGTAAGGGATAAGAAATACTGGCCACATGCTATATGAGGAGCTCATCTTCCCGAATGGATTAAACCCATCGGTAGCGAGGCCAAGTCGGACATTTCGTGCATCATTTGCAAACCATTCATACTTCCTATCAAAATCCTTCCATGCCTCACCATCAGCAGGATGGCTAAGCTCATTGTCCACTGCTTTCCTCTTCAACTTGTGCCATTATGCCTGAGCTGAAAGTTCTTTGGATCCAAACATCCTCTTCAACCTTGGAATCAAAGGAAATGCCTTAGAACCTTTTCTGGAATCTGCCTTCGGCCATCTGCATCCTTCCATCTTGAAGCACGACATATTGGGCATGCATCCTTTTTAGCCAACTCCTTTCGGAAAAGAACACAGTTATTCGGACACACATGTATTGACTCATATCCAAGTCCTAATGCACGAATAACATTCTTCGCTTCAGCATAGGATGCAGGGATAGAACAATCTGGAAATGCCGAACTTAACAAGTCTAAAAAAGCACTGAATCCAACATTGCTGATTCTGTAAAATGACTTGATGTGGAGCAACTTCACCACAAAAGAAAACCTAGTATGGGGACCACCGGGGTGTAGCACCTGTTTCATCTCTTCTAATATGGTGGCAAACTTTGACTTTGTTCTTGGTCCATGATTTTGATCCGGGTACAGATCCTGTACCATACGGTATATTTGATCATCTTCTGGGTCATCTTGAGGCTCATCTTCTGGGACATCTTCATGCAAATGCTCAACATTGCAGCCAAAATCTTCATTCAAATGCTCAACATTTTCAGTTATCATGCACAATGGTTCTCCATGATGTATCCACCTAGTGTATGTGCTAGACATCCCATAAATAAGTAAGTGATCCTCCACATCTCCTTTATGTCGATTTAACCGATTCAAACACTTACGACATGGGCATAATATCTCCTGATTGCCACTCAAATTTTCTGAAACAAAGTCCATGAACTCAGTGACCCCATCCAGATGCTCCTTGCTAAACAACCTACAATTCATCCAAGTTTCGCCATCTGCGACACATTGAAATAAGACAAGCAAGGAATCAACAAGTGATCATTGCCCAGATCGCTATTTGCCTATTTCTATCACTTCAAATCTCGGTTTGATTATAACCTATGGTTTCAATTGAAATATAAAACCAAAACATAAGTTCATCTCATATGTACCTTTCCTTCCTAATCGAAGGGATGGGGGGGTCTCTGGTCGACCTCACCCATGGTGGCAGTGATCCCAGTGGAGCTCTTGGGCGTTCCTAGCATTTCAGCCCGTGAAGCCCTGGCTGACCGAGCTGCAGCCCAGCGCCGAGCTCCGGAGGCGGGTCGGGCTAATGCCATTGGCGTCGGGGTCCTACCTCCGGCGGCAGCCTCCTTTCGGCGGCGTCGGGCTACTGCCGGCGGCGTCGGGCTAATGTCGGTGGCGTCGGGCTACTGGGGGCGTCCCCAGCGGTTGTGCCCATGAAGCCTGGCAGCCTGGAGCTGTAGCCTGCTGGCGTCGACCTCCTGGGGTGGGGTCGGCCAGCGGCGTGGGATCCTGACGGAGGCGGCGTTGGGCAAAGGGCAGCGGCGTCGAGCTCCTACTACGGAAGGACGATAGAGGAAAAGTGTGCCATAGCCAGATGCGCGTCAGGCTCCTGCTAAGGAATAGTGACTCCCAGGGATGGAAAATGTACAAAGAAAAAAGAATCAGAGCATATGCAACAACAGGCGAGTATCTCAGTGGTTCTTCCATTGCCTGGGAAGCCAGAGGGCGCGGGTTCGATCCTTCCTCACTACGGGAGCTCCCAATTTTTAATTGTTTTATAGTTAATATTTACCTTACATGTGGATCCCACCAGTCCACTGTGGCTGTGCCAAAGTGTTTTTTAATGATTTTTAATTTATGACCATCACATTCCATCAATTTCGTCATGAACTATTGTCATAAAGATAGGGAAAAATGGTTTTTAATTTATGACTATCACATTCCATCACTTTTGTCATGAACTATTGTCACAAAGATTGGGAAAGGCTCATGGTGACGGTTGTTTATGACTAAATCATAACTTAGTCACAAACACTTTTCATCCAAAGAAAACTTGTCATAAACGCATCGTTTCTGTGACTAAAAAGTGCTTTGTCATATGAAAATTGTCATAGAAGGTCTAATCTCTTGTAGTGGGGGAGGTGACTATGCATGGCATGGGTGATGCTGAGCAGGGAGGACTGTGTCCCCAACGCAGGCGAGCTCGCTCGGAGGAGGGATGGCCGCAGGTGACGACAAGGTTACACGGTGTGCGGGAGGTAGCTGCGAGCGCCGCCGCGGATGGCGATGAGGCAGCGCGGCGTGGGTAGGGAGCTGCGAGGGGAAAGCACCACCACCAATGAGACATCTGCGAGCGCCGCCGAAGAGAAAGAGAGAGAGGGCCGCAACGGAGAAAGAGAGAGGGTGCTGAACAGGATTAGTGGCGTGGGGGAGGAAGAGAATAGACGCGTGGGTGGCAGGGTATGTGGGGATGTGTGGGCGTGAGCGGTGGGCCTGCGAGAGCGTCCAATGATTTGTGTCCGGTTCGAACGTAACACACGTAACATTACTGCTGTGATAGCCCAAAGAAAGAGCACAGGCTACACAGCACAGCGAGTGCTTGGCCACACACAATCTTCATCATCCTCATCAGATCTCCTCCTACCATCGGAACGAACGTTCCGTCCGGATCTGCACTTATCATCATGCTTCCACGATCCCAACAGTAGCAGAAACAAAAGGGTGGACTCGAATCCCCGGTGCTTGCAGTTGCAGTCTTGCAGATGGCAGTGCGGGAGGCGAATGGTCCCGGGCGGGTCAGGGCGGCGACGTGGGCGGCGCGCGGTCACCGCGGCCCTCACGTCGCCGTGCCGGCCGGGCGGGCACGGCCGACCGCGTGAGATCCGGTCAAGACGACTCGTGCTCGGGGCTCGGCCTCGGTGGATGCATGTCGTCTGCTCTGCTCTGCTCGCTCTTTGGTCTTTGCTATTGCTACCCTTCTTCCCTTGCCTTGAGATCCGGGAGCACATGCACATGGACATGCCCGATCCTCTTCCACCTACCCTACTCTAAAAGCAAGGGAGCAAGAGCAAGAGCTCCTCTCTCTTCCTCCGCCGCATCCCCATGTGCAGTGCAGCAGCTGCAGCTAGCGCGCATTGTTTTCTGTTCCCTCCAGTAGTCTACCCCGGTCGGCCGGTCCATTCCATTTGCATCGCCGACGACTGAGGATTAACGCAGCTGCTACCTACTGTCGGGGGACTGCACGCCACCTAGGAGCACTGCTAACACTCCGATTCCATCCACGGTAATCATATTCTTTATTAAGCTGACATCCCCTTATGATTGTAAAGGTCTGATTGTTGTCGTCTGTCAATTCCCAAATCGATCGTTAGGGAAACGGCAAATAGAATTCAATCAAATCATGGTTTAAATCCAACGAGTTGTGGCATATTTTGGACATACGCAGGCGGCGCTCCTAATGATAAGTACAGGATAGATAGCTCGATCATCAGTTCTGGTTAATTCAATGTATCCCATGCATACCAATGGACAGCTTGTTCTTGCTTGTAGCACCTGCCCTTCTTACCTAAACTTGATTGGATTAGTTTAGTTCAATGCACCAGTCGTCAGCCTGGCCACTCTAATCTCAAGTTAATCTCCCCAAAGGCCAAAACCAAAACCAAGCAGCTAGCTCTCAGCCGGCATGCAATCAAACCATGCAAATACAATGCATGCCCCCATGATAATGGAGTGCTCTGTACTCCTCATCTTCTTGTTGCCCTGAACGGCTGAACCGAAACCACCTCAGACAAGAAGCAGGGGCCATCGAATCCCCAATCATATGCAACAGCCAGACAGCTCATGCCTGCTGCTCCCAATCTGCATGCCGCCAACCCAAGGCCATGCCCATCCATCCATCCATGATATACACACAACCACGCACCCCACGTACCCTGTCTCCTTCCTCCATCCGTCCGCCCGGCCTAGCCCGCTCATGTGTGCATGCGCGCGCCATTGCTCCTGCACATACAGAGACAGCTGCAGATGCATGCAAGCTTTTCTCGTATTGCCGCACAAGACTTTGAGCTGATACCACTGTAACCAGGAGATCGATCGCGCTATCACCAGCCCCTCCTCTTCCATGGGTACCATTCCGACCTATACTTTCTACAGTCTACGCAAGGCATTTCATTTGGTGCCCTGTATAGTTGTATCTTTCTCTGGGTTGGAAGCTAGCTTTTTTTGTGTTCTTGGCCTACTGCGTTGCATTTCTTTGAGAGTCGATCTTGTCCACAGAGGTCCACGCGGCTTTCTAGGAATGGTCTTTTTCTTGGATGTTTTTTTTTTTTTGACAGTTTCAACCTGTTGTGGTCCACATCGATCTTATCTGGGCGTAGTGCCGTATCTTTGCTTTGTTGGTACTCCTGTACTGCATGTAATCTGTTGCAGGAGTACGCCTTCTTTGCACAGAGCACCTAATCATAATCGTATTTGCAGCATTTGCTGTATCTCTGAATTTTTTTCGGTTTGCGGGACTCGAATGTGGAATGGAATCCATCGAGTAGCTTTACCCTGTTCCAAGAAGGAAGAGAGAGAGAGACGGCGAGATCCTCCCTCCTCCATCTTTTTTTCCTTTGGCATGCTCTTCTTATTCCTTCCACCAAGACCAAGGCTAGTCACCAACAAACAATGCTGCCTCCATCTGATCTGACTCTCTCCGCCTTTTCCTTTGAGATCCCCCGCGCGCTTTCATCAGTTGATCCGAGTACGGGAGCTGCCTGCCAGGGCGGCGTCGCTGATGCTGTCGCTGTTGAGCAAAAGCACGCCCAAATCCCGAGGCAAATCCGAGCACATGATTAGCCCCGCATCCTTGCTCCTTTCCGTTGCTGCTTACTCCTACTCCTATTCCTATGGGAGCAGTATTCAATCAGGTGGATTCTCACCTGTGATAGATACATGTGAAATCATTTCGATCGCCTTCTTTCTTGTGAATTTGTAGCATGTAACAAGCGATGTTCTTGTTTCTCATGGCAAGAAGATGCTGCCGTCTTTATTTACCAGCTGGTATCTGAATCCAGAACTGCGATGCTGAGGGAGGCCACTGGTCTGGGCAGAGGAGTTTCCACCGCCACCAAGATCCGCAAGCGCTGCGCCGTGTCGCCGTCGTCGGCCGCGTCGTCCTCGGACCGCCAGAGGAGGAGGTGGGAGCTGCGGGCGAAGCGGAGCGTGCGCCTGATCGGCCGGAGCGCGGAGCCGGGTCGCATTGCCCGAGCAGCAGCAGGATCAAGAGGAGGAGGATGTCGGAGCCGTCCTGGACGAACCGGCGCTGCCGCCACGGCGACGTCGAGACGCGGTCCGCGGCGTCGGCCAGGAAGCTCGTCAGCGCACTCTGGCAGCACAGCAAGGGCGGGAGCGCATTCGAGGAGGAGGTTGGGGAGGGGGAGGTTCTGTGGGACGCGGCCGCCAAGCGCCGGAGCTCCTCGGATCACCGGCGCAGCGCGTCGGTCGAGGTGGTGAGCGCCGCCGCTCGCCGTGTCGTGCTGCATGTGTTTGTTGTGTCACTGTCGTTGGGTCCTGCCCTGAATCTGTTTGATTGCTTTGCTGCAGCTGTCCAAGTTGTCGAGAAGAAAGATCAAGGCTTTCAAGGATGATGATGGAGAGAGGAGCTGGCATAATGGCCATGCTCATGGCCGCTGCTTCTCAGATGTCATGAGCAATGGCGGCACTGTGGGGGTAAGTTCCAAGATCCGTACTACTCGAACCCTTCCCTTGTGCGTATGAATTATGATGTTGGACATTTCCCTGCCCTTTTAATAACTACTTATTACTGTATCAACTAATGAGATTTTCCTAAACGTTGTCAATACGCTGTAAGTATTACAGATCTTCATTCAAACATTCAAAACAATTCAGAGTAAGGATTTTGCTGCCAACCTTCACATTATCATAGACTGCCATTTGTAATGAGGTTTTACCCGTGTCTGCATTTCTGATGCAAATTTCTGAAGTAGTGGCAGCCGGTCTCTGAAGTCTGAACCTTTTTGGAGCCTATCCTCGTGGTTAGGCTGTACCGACTGCGATTATCATATCTTTTTTCTGAAAGGCGGCAAAAGCATTGCTAGATTTTTATTAGATGGAAAAAAAGAGAGAGACAAAAATTATAAGATTACAACTTGAGCCATGCTCGCTACTTTGACCCTTAGGTCAACCACTCTACTCTAAACGCAGCTTGACAGAAAACAAAAACTTAAGGAAAAGAACTCCCCTGAAAAAAGAAAAACAAGGAAGAAGAAAAAACCGCTATCTATTACTGTTGTGGCTGATTGATCTGCTCGTATGATCTTGTTGCTGCCTGATATTGCTCCACGTCTTCCTTGCATAAGAAGGCTACTTCCTTTGGTTGTAGACTCTTGTTCTCGAAAGTTCTATTCCTTTCTTTCCATATATTCCACCAGAAATAAATCATGACGCCATCAAATGTTTTCCTCTGGCTTTTGTCGATCTTAGTCCGGCATCTTCGCCAATAGCTGTGCAGAGATCCATTGATTCCGATGTTATCGATTACCGTCAAACCAAGCCACTATTTTAGGAAGGCCCAAGCTTGTTTTGTGAAGTCGTAGTCTTTCCACAAGTGCGTGGGGGTTTCAAGTTCATTACTGCAGAGTTTACATATCGGATCATTCGGCCAATGTCGTTTTATCAAATTGTTAGCCGTTAGGATCTTCTTATGTAGCAATGTCTATTTGGATTCACCCTTTGCTCTTCATACTGGAGTAAGTTTCAGCTTGCTGATGGTCCCTTGGAATTGGATTCAGTAGGCGCTTTTTGTTGTATATTCCCCATTTGTTGTCCAACGCCAAACTATACTATCCTCCCTGCTTTCATCTAGCTGCACCTGCTGTACAGCGTTCCAAAGCAAGACATACTCATGTAATTCAGTCGGCGAAAACACCGGGCTGATATGCTCTATCCACTTGTTGTCCTGCAAAGCTTTTTTGAATAGTGTCGGGGCCATGTTTTTGAGGGTTTGTCCTTGTGCCCAGGATGACGACCAGAACTTGGCAAATTTCTCATCTCCGATCGTTACTATTGTGGATGCCGCAAAAAGTTCTCGGTCTCGGCTATCACAAGGCAGTTCCAGCTTGTTCCATGCTCTTTCCTTTTGTCGCTATTGGAACCATAGCCATCGTATTCTTAATGCACGCGCGAAACGTTCAAGGTCTAACATCCCCAAACCCCCTTTTATTTTGGGGAGACATGTGGTTGGCCAATTTATAATGGAGTACCCCTGTATACTTTGTCTGGCGTTTCTCCCCTCCAGAGAAAACTCCTTCGCAACCGATCAATCCTATTAATCAACCATTTTTGTTCCGGGACAGTCATATGGTAGATCGGTTGAGCTGACAACACTGTTTTTACAAGGGTCTCCCTTCCTGCAGCGGACAGCAACCTTCCCTTCCATCCTGGTAGTCTAGCTCCAATTTTGTCTATTAAAGGTTGGACTTCTACTTTGCGCAGCTTTCTAATATGGAGAGGGAGGCTGAGGTACTTCCCGGGGAACTTGGCGATCTTTCCATGGAAATTTTGTAGCAGTTGGGTGACGGCACTGTCCACCATCCGAATTGGGAAGATTTCCGTCTTGGAGATGTTGATTTTGAGGCCCGACCAATCGCCAAAGAAGGCTAAAATCCTATGTAGGTGTTCTAGCTCTAGGCTGCTCGGGTCAACGAAGATTACCACATCGTCCGCATATAGTGAGCAGCCTAGGTTGGCCGCCTTTGGCAATATCGGTTTCAAGATGCCCCTGTTTGCAGCAACTTCAATGATGCGCTGTAGTGGATCAATGGCAAGAATGAATAGAAGGGGTGATAGGGGATTACCCTGTCGTAGTCCCCTAGCATGCCTAATCTCTTTTGATGGTTGGCCATTGATCAAGACCCTGGAAGTTGACGTTCCCAACATAGCCGAGATCCAGTCCCTCCATTTTGTACTGTATCCCAAATTCTCTAGAACCTCTAACAGGAAACTCCACCCTATTGAATCAAAAGCTTTCGAGATGTCAAGTTTTATGAAGAGCGTCGGTTTCTTCTTCTTATGCAATAGTTGGATCACCGTTGTGCATAGATAAAGTTGTCATGTATGCACCTCTTCTTGATGAATGCATTTTGTGCATTAGAAACTAGAGTGTTCATGTGAGGCGCTAATCTATTAGCTAGGATTTTCGTGATGATTTTTGCGACACTGTTGATGAGGCTTATAGGTCTATACTCGGATAAGGATGATGCTTCTGATGTTTTAGATAGGAGGACAATATTGGCTACATTGATCAATCCCAACTTAGATGTTCTATGGTTATAGAAACTCATGATCGCCTCGATCAAATCTTGCTTGATGATCGACCAGCAGCGTTTATAGAAGAGTCCAATGAAACCATCTGGGCCATGTGCTTTCTCGGCCGACATCTCCTTGATCACGGCCTCTATTTCTTGTTCGGTGAATGGAGCATCTAGATCGTCCAGATCATGGTGATTGTAGCCTAGCTCATTCCAGTTTAATCCTCTAGTTCTTGTGCTCGGTGTCCCAATTAGGTTGGAGAAGTGGGTGTGCGCCAAAGTTGTTTTGCTTTCTTGCGATATGGCCGGTCCTGACTCACCATTTAGCATCGCAATGAAAGATCTCTTTTTTCTCATGTTTGCGTGTAGCTGAAAGAAACGTGTATTGGTGTCTCCTTTGCGGATCCATGTTAGCCTTGAGTGTTGGCGTGCTCGAGATTTTTGTATCGCTGCAATCCCTAGAGCTTTGGCTTTTAGGTACTTTTTGAATTCCAATTCGTCCGGCGTGAGAGTCCTAGCTTCTTGCGCCTTCTCCAAATTTGCTAGTACTATGTTTAGTATCGCCTAGCTTAATTTCCATCTGCCCAGGGATAAGCGCCTCCAATTTCTTAGCGCCTTGCCCATGCGTAGCAATTTGACGTGGAATCGCAATATGGCGTCCTGGGTGTCCACCGGTGTGCTCCATGCTTTCTGAACCGTGTCAGCAAAACCAGACATCTGTACCCAGTGCGCTTCAAATCTGAATCCCCTATAGAAATCACGATTAGTGTACCCTTGGAGAAACAAAGTGCAATGGTCAGAGCCAAGGGAGGCTAAAGCTTGTAGTTCCGTTCTTGGGAACAAATCCAGCCAATCTGTGGATGCAAAAATGTGATCGATTCTTGTCATAGTTGGCGACTGCTGATCATTGCACCAGGTGTACTTTTTGCCTCTAAGCTCAATCCTTGCAAGTTCAAGATTGTCGATGGTTGCTCTGAATCTATTGATCATTTGCAAGTTCAGTCTATTGTTGTTTTTCTCCTGGGCATTAAGAATTAGATTGAAATCTCCTAGCAGCAGCCATGTTGGGAGCATATGCTGGCGTAGGTCCAAGATTTCTTGCAAGAAAAGGATTTTATCTGCATTATTTTGAGGACCATAGACCCCAGATATCGACCATTCCTGGTTTTCAGCCAGCATTGTTAGTTTTGTTTTAACTGTATTGGTTGTTAGGTGAGGTTGAGTTAGAGTGAAGAAACGTTTTGATGCCGCGATAAGGATGCCTCCGCAGACTCCAACCGATGGTAGAAAACAGCGTTGCTTGCCATCTCGATACCCACCATGTCGACCAGGAGGTTGTGAGTCTAGTTACTGATTTTTGTTTCTTGCAAGCATACAACCGTCACTCCGGAAGAAATGATCCGAGTTCTACTGAGGCTCACTTTGCTCCATCGTTTGATCCTCTGACATTCCAGCACATGATGTTGCAGTTTTTAGCTGCCATAATGGAAAGGTCTGACTACTAGCTTAAGGCGGTTCAACATGGTGACCCACGACCGGGGATGACCGAAGGCAACAGAGCCAGCAGGTCAGAGTTCTTCCCCAAGATCCAAACCATACAAGTTCTCGGCCGAAGGTTCATAGGCCAGTAGGCGCACGTCTGAAGAAAACTAAGAGGTTCAAAATGCAATAGGTGCCCAGAAGCACCAAAACAGCCACGCAGGGCTCGACTAACAACTACGACTTGAGGAGGATAACTTGGGCACCTGGCCCGGACCCCTTTGCCTAAGGGGGGCTGACATTGGGCATTAGGACACTGGGAGCTGGCACCTAGGCCAGCAGCTTTGGAACGACCGCCGCGTTCCTCTGGTCATGCCCCTTCTTCTGGCTCGTGTTGACTTGCTCAATGAGTCCCTGGATGGCCTCCATGGTGTTCTTCTCCATCGGCCTTTCGAAGTGCTGCACATAGAATTCAAACTCATCATTGATCGGGTCTTTCTCCATGCCTGATAAATCACCTAGCTTTTTAACTAGCAATTCTTGGGCAATCTGAATGGCGCCCTTGCCTACATTATTTGCTGCCTTTTTTGCTAATCTAGAACTTTGCCTTTTGCTGGAGCTTGGTGGTGGTGTGACCAGCGGAATTTGGTGTAGCATTGGTGCTGTGTTATGCACTTCCAGTAAGGGTTGTGGAAGGGGTCTTGAAATTGATTCAATGAAATTATCTATGGAGGGTGGTTGTGGCTGGCGGCCATCAGTAGAGTTGTTTCCTGACTGGCCAATAGTTGGTACCAGTAGGGCTAAACTAATTTCCTCTACTTCCTCTATAGGTTGACTATGCATCGCTGTAGGCACTTTTAAGTCTAAGCTTTCATTGGCCATTTGGGAGATTGCATTACTCAAATGTTGGTTCTCTTCTAAGTCAAGATTTTTATTGGCCATTTGGGCTATTGCATTACTCGAATCTTGGTTCTCTACTTCATTGTCAGAGAATGCAGCAGTTGTAGAAGCTGGGGGGCTTACCAGGATCTCGTTCAGGTGATCCAGCAGCAGCTCCAGCTTTTTCTCCATGGGTGCACTGGTCCGCTCTCCCATCGGCCCCTCCTTGTCCATGCCTGCTTCTGGTTCAGTGGAAAGAGGCGATGCGTTATGCACTGTATGTGCTGCAAATGTACCCTGCATATTGGTTACAATGTTAGGAGCATTCTCACTTGGTGTGATGATGTTGGAGTCCACGGTGGCTGACAGCCACATGCGATCTTCGTCCACTTGCTCCACCGGCTGCTGTACTCTACACCAACCGGGCTTGTTTATTCATTCATCCATTAATTCATCTGCTGATGCGATTCTCCTCCTCATCACCTCAAGCCTAGCACATAGGCTGTTAGTTGGAGGTTACCTGCTGTGCCGTTGTTAATCCTCCTCTAGGTTTATGCGGCGACGGGAAAGATGGACTGATCGAAAGTTGGAGCCGAGATTCGACGGTTAGTTGGGACCTGTTTTTCAGTTGGTACAACGGTTAGTTGAATAGGAGGGCCACGACAGCCTCAGCTCTGACTGTGTGTCTGTCAGCGCCGCCTAATCATGCTGCTCTTCATTTTGTCCGTCTCAATCATCCTGCACTAGTCCTTGAGATGGAAGCTAGTTCACATCAAGTTTGTCCGCTGCCCATGGTAGGTAGTATAAACTTAGGACACTGGTAAATGCTGAGATCATAACAAAGAAACCATATATACCCACTGTATGTAGTTGCTGATCAGTCTAAACATCTTCCAAGTTGCTGTTCATTTGCTGATCTGAACAATTCGAGTATGAATCAATGTTGGTCCACCCATTTTCAGGGCCGCACTCCAGCACGCCAGGGTGATCGAAACAGAACAGTGCAGATGCAGGAGCTGTACAACAGCCTCACCGCGTCCAACGAGCTCGTCAGGGTCCTGGCCAACGTCCTGGGACCCACGGGGGGCCTCAACCCGACGGCGGCGTCCCTCCTCGCCGCGCTGCGCTCCGAGCTGGACGCCGCGCGCCAGCTCGTGAAGCAGCACAGGCGCGGCGGCGACGAGGACGACGACTACGAGCGCCTGCTGCGGAAGCAGCTCGCGGAGGAGGTGCGCGAGTGGAAGTGCAGGCACAGGGAGAAGGCCGCGGCGGCCGCGCGGCTGGTCGCCTCGGAGCTCGACGGCCAGCGGCGGTCGCGTAGGCGGGCGGAGAGGGTGGGCAAGAAGCTAGCGGAGGCGCTGGCGGACGCGGAGGCGTCGCTGCGGGCGGCCACGCGGGAGCTTGAGCTGGAGAGGGCGTCCAGGGAGCGCCTGGAGAAGGTGTGCGACGAGCTCGCCAGGGGCGTTGGTGCCGGCACGGAGGCAGAGGAGGAGGAACTCAGGCGGGAGGCCGCCACCGCTCTGGAGGAGTTGGAGAGGGAGAGGGAGATGCTGCAGGTCGCAGACGAGCTCCGTGAGGAGCGGGTCCAGATGAAGCTAGCGGAGGCGAGGCTCCAGTTCGAGGAGAAGAACGCCGTCGTCGACCGCCTGCGCCAAGAGCTCGAGGCCTTCTTGGGCACCAGCAACGAACGTCGAGAAAAAACGCCTGCTCACCATGAACTGGTGGCCAAGGATGTGGTGGAGGATCAGCAGCTGCAATTGGTTCTTGCCTCTGAATTCGGTGTCGACGGCATCGATCGTGTGGTCACAGAAAAGAGCGGACAAGAACAAAATGCCGAAGCTGATGCTGATGACGACTCGGAAGGCAGCGACATCGAGCTCAACATGGACGGCCACAGCTGGAGCTACACCACCAACACCTCCAGGTCCAGGGAGACGACGGCCATGAACGCAGCGTCAGTGCACGGCTCACTTTCAGGCAGAGCAACGGAATGTGGGGCCGACGCCCGCACCTTCGATCGGAGATCTGAAGCAACGAGGGAGGCACTGGAACAGGACTGGGCGGCGGACGGATGCAGCGACGACGGGACCACCACCAAGGACATGGACGAGGACGCGGAAAGGTACGAGGCGATCAAGAACCTCAGGGAGCAGATGCTGGCCGGCCACGCCTTTCTCTTCCTGTCCAAAGGTGAGGCCGACGCTGACAGCGATCGGCATCGCCATGGTTTCGCTTCTCATTTTGAAGACGGTGGCCTCTGGTGAGCCAAATTGCTTGGTGTTCACTGTTCAGCCGTTGATGGTGACACCAGCCCTCTCTTTCTTTAAAATTTGTGTATAGTCTCTTTTGGTTTTGGAGCTCCATTTGCACAGCACAGTTTTATAGAGTTTTTTTTTCCTCTGGGGTTTGGATCGATACTGTACTTCCACAGGAATCGTGGTTTCAAAGTTTTGATGTTTTGGCACTGGCATTTTGCGTTTGGTATCACAATCAAAACTCAAAACTCACAAATGCCTTATTTCTGGATACAGAATTATAAACTTACAACCTTAATGTTAGTGGAGGCCTGCACTTTAATACCCAAGAGATGCGTGAAAAAAAATCTAGAAATTCTGATAAGAATAAAAAAAATCTTGCAATCGATTTTGCAGACTTAAATCGCTAACCACCAGATCTATTATGTTTTGAAAAATATTCACAGTATCATCTAAATTTGTATCCGAATTACACTTATATGGCATCATAAAAAGCAATCTAAATTACCTGCTATATGCTATTAAGTGAACCCTTGTAAGGTTGAATGGTCGAAGTGGTGGCTGGTGGGTTGGAGGGGAGGGAAGGGCTGAATTGTGCTCAAAAAATAAAATAAACCCACAATCTTACGTTATGCAAACAATAGACCCCCTAAGTACCTTTGGTTCCTAAGTTCTTCTAGAAAGCAATCTATCGAGTCATTAGAGCCAACACACTAATCATGTCCTTAGCTAGGATCACACTTAAATAAGGTCCTTAGATAGGGTATGAAATCTATGATAAGCACACCAACATAACTCCTAGTTGTCACACAAGAAACGTACAATCAAAGAATAATGTAAAGCAAGTAGTGAGAAAGGTCGAGACAACTGGATTTTTTTGATTTTTTTCTCGTGGTCTCGGGTTGTTGCCATGGGGAAATCATATGCTGAACTAACCTTATTTTCTATGACACTATAAATTGAAGATACATCTTCATGGGTAGAGAATTGTCAACAAGACAATAGAACAGAGGTTCATGAAGGGAGCTGAAATTAGGGGGGCAACACCATGCCAACGTTGCAGATCAAGAACTATTAGTGGTGCTACAAAGCATTGCTGATCAGATCTATCTAGGCATAAGGATTCATCCTACCGACCAATCTCCCTATGAGGTTTAGGGTTTATGGATTTATCTAGCTAGTCGTCTAGTATAAAGCTTGGTGACATCTACAAGTATCTTGCTACCGATATTATAAGTTAATCTTTATTGGGAACTTAATACACTTGAACTGTGCCATGTGTTGTATGTTGTGCTTCATCTAAAGTCTACTTCTTATGTGATTAGATCACTAGAGGAAAGTGAGTGATCATAGTACATGTCCCCCAAAATCTCACAGAAATATAGACATGGACCACTATGGGCCAAATCCAAACTAGAGCGGATGTCACATTTCCAGCCTACCTCTCATACTAAAAATGGATTAACCTTTCAAGTAGAGTTAACTAACATTTTTAGTTTCCGTCATCCATAAATCAACTAACTGTGGATACACATATATCTCTATGCTTAAAGCAGCAAAGAAGAGACATTGGAATCACCTTACAATTTATATTTTTCCTCCATTTTCCAAATTTCCAAAAAGCCAATGGTAAGCCAAGTGTCACATCCGATTTTAAGGACAAAATCGGATACAGAATCCTATGTGTGCCCCAGGATCAGTCACACACATAAGACGACAAATTATAATAGTATCAAGAGACAAGCATTTGTTACATAACGAGCAATGACGATTACATAGAGACAACTATTTATCAGAGTAGCGGAAAATACACATTCTAATCTTCAGGTGAAGCCTCCATAGCCATAGGGACGGTTGACTAGGGGTAACATACGCCTATCACTTCTCAGAAAACACACTAGCTCCTCCATCTGGTACCCATCCGGGATTTTTGTCTAAGTAATGAAAAGTAAAGCAAGCGTAAGTACATGTCGTACTCAGCAATATAACATGGGGTTCATGAGGCTCAAAAGGCTGACACTGGTTTACTGCGATTAGCTTTTAGTGAGTTAAAATTTTAGCAATTGAGTAGCAACAAGTTTAGCACAAGCCCAAATAACCACATGATCATGTAAACAAGAATAATGTATAGCAATAAACAATAAGTATAAGAGATCATCTATTCCATAAGGATCCTAAGGCCACTCGTGTCCGTGAGCACGGCTGATATACCAGTTTTACACTCTGCAGAGGTTGTACACTTTCACCACAAGTCGTGATTCCCATATGCCATCACCTCTTCCAAGGGAGTGTGGTAGGGTATACCACAAGACCGTTCATAGGTTCCACTAATAGGTAGCAACCCGCTAAGGTTTCCCCATCAATAAGCATGAACTCCCCTCCAAGGGGTGACCGACAAAAATACAAATAAACCAAAGTGCACCCTCTTGGCAGGCCGAGATCATACAAATCGGAGCCCCTCTTGCGCCTTTCGGTAAGCTGCCACAGACTATTAAAAGTCTGATACTGAATCAAGCTAGAGCCATATAGCTTGTGGTTGTACTATAAGTCCTGGGTTGTCACTTACAGATAAGTCCTTAGGAAGAGACACTCAAGCATTTGGAAAGTAGCCAAATACTCCTGCACCCTTCTGTCCATGTTGCTAAAAAGCATAAGTTACAGATCATGGTAATTTAATTGAGCACTAGCAGAAATACTATCCAATGCATATAACCTGTAGGTATCAAGGTATAAAGGTAACAATAGCTAGGATATCCTTAGTGGTAATCAAGGTAGACACATGCAGTATGAATTAAGTGATTGAATAGGTAACAAGGATGATCCCATGCTATACTTGCCTTTTACACTTTCTTTCCACTCAAGGTAACTGCTCATAGAAACTCTTCAGTCTCCTTTGCAACTTTCAGCCTCCAGCGCTTACGTACAGTTCTCATTCATAGCAAACACCAAGCACAAAGAATATACAAACAGGCAAAGCAAAGACATGACTAAGAATATACACCAATCATAGTAAAAGCTTTATAAACAATGTGCTAAAAGAGGGCTCGTTGCTATGATCATGAGAGCGCGAGAACGAACAACGACGGAGCTACAGTTGGAAAGGACTTGATGAGACTATCGAGATGTTTGCAACATAACGAAGAAGATGAACTACATGCTTGATTTATTTTAGTTAATGAAATAAGGTGGAGGATACTTCGTAGAAACATCCTATAGTCCAATTAAGTCAATTGAAACTTGAATTTGGAAAGGCGAGATATGACCTTAGTTTTGAAAACATAGAACATGCGTGATAACTAATCGAACTATTATATGTTTCATATTTAGACTAATCAAGTTATAATTAATAAATAAACGTTTGATTTGATATTAATCAAGTTAAGTTTGATTTATGAAAGGCCAAAGGTTAAACCCTAAGTTTATTTAATTATAAAAAAGCTATTGAATAAATATTAATTAATAAAATTAACATTTAAATTGAATAAATTCATAATTGAGTGACATGATAAATGTCAGCACTATTGCGTAGAGCCACATCGAGGTGAATCTAACACAACTAGAATGACCCAAAACGGAGTTAAAACAATTAAACCACGGGGATTTAACTATCAGTGGCAATTTTGTAATCGCCATCATCTTCTACTTTTGTCCATCTTCAACACGAATGTGGCCAAGGCCAAGGCCAAGGCCAAGGAGCAGGGGCTGTGCACAGGGGGTGCTCCAACGAGCACGGCCTCAAGCGAGTGGAGCGAGGGAGGGGTAGGAGATCACGATGAAGTCACCAGAGGGGATATCAGTGACAAGGATGTAGTGAGGAGGGAGATCGAGGCGGTGGGGCAGACAGACGGCGGTGGAAAGCTTTGGCGAGCATGGGACCCACACAGGAGGCCACAGATCGGCGAGGCAATGCAGTGGGGAGGATTCAGCTTGCTCATGCGGTGCCAAAGAAGGGGGCGGGGAGGCGAGTGGTGGTGCCTGCGTGTAGATCGAGAGCTCGGGGTGGAGCTCGTCCATGGCGGCGGCGGCAAGTGTAGGCTCTAGAGCAGGAGAGGGATCTCAAAGAGGAGTGGCATGGTGGCGAGGAGGGGTGGTGTCGAGGATCTCCTCTTATAGGACTGAGAGGGCGAGGGATGAGCGGTGGAGGAGCTCGGCTGTGCGCCAATGGCGACCTTGACTCGGTGAGCGGGAAGAACGGGTCGCGGCAGCTGTGGCTAGCGGGCACATTATTTAGTGCTCTCATGAACAAGAAGAGGGAGGAATTCAAAGAATGGCACAAGAGACATAGAGCTCTTGAGCAATCCTTTGAAGATAATTTGGCTACTCATGAGGCTCTACTTGACTCTAATGAGAAGCTCAAGGATGATGCTCACTCCTTTCTTCATGCTCAAAAGGATGAGCCTATTGCAAAAGATAGCATCTGAGTCACTTGTGATCTAATTGTTGAAAATATTTGTGCTCCTATTGTTGTTGCTAGTAACCTTTCTTGTAGCACTAGCAAAGCTACCCCTTTGAGTGATCCACCACTGATTCATCTCTCATTATGGAAAATGAGACCCTCAAGGAGGATGATGAGCTCACCCATGCATTGAACAAGGCATATATGGGTGAACCATGCTTGCAGGAATGTCTAGGGAGCCAAAGGTTTTGCCTTAATAAGGAAGGATTAGGCTATGTCCCTATGAAATGCATGAAAGCCTATGTATCTCACAACAGTTTGTGAAGAGCAATGGCAAGTATTGCAACAAGTGCAAGCAAGTGGGGCACTTGGAGAGGGAATGTAAGAACAAGACTAACACCAGATACTCCATCAAATTTTATTCTTCTTATTTACTTTCCAAGGGTGCTAATGGTGTTCATGCTAGGTTCATTGGTACACATCTCAATTATGCATCACTAATTAGGTGTCTCCATTATTCTGTTTCGGCATAGTGATTATTGGTTTTAACCCCTTTTTTATAAAGACCTCAAAAGAGTACTTACAAAAGATGAATAACATGACACAAAACAACCTCTAAAAAATAAGAGTATATCAGAAACTAATTTGGTTATCTTCTTCCTTCGATCGTCCACTGAGAGCTTGAAAATCACATTCAAAAGACAATTGTCACGACCCTATCTTGACACACCTGAAATCATCAGCATCGTGACCATTATTGCATTTAAAATCCAAATTCTAGAAACTTGACTGCACTAAAATATGCATTTAGTTTGCCCACTGTTGATTTGACAGACAGTCGGCCAGCACTACCGAACTATCCGCCACATCATCTGCACTATCAATTAAACTTCAACACCATCGGACGGTCCGATAGAACAGCGAACTATCCGGTATACCAACCCATGCAACAGATGTGAGGTGTCACTTTAGGATCTCACTTGGCCCTACTTGTCATAACACTTGTCCAGCTCGTAGAGCACCCAAACCAAGAGCCTTACTAGCTCACCCATTCACTCTCACACTCCCACTCTCTCTCTAGTTCATCCCTCTCTCTCTACACTCTCTCACACACTCAAGCAAGGAGAAGGAAGGGAAGGAGAAGGAAAGGAGGGGATGATTGGAGTTGCAGCAGCAAGATATGGCCATGGAGATCGCCTAGAAGCACTCATCCACAAGAGGTTGGGGTTGGAAGAGAGAGGAGCCCTCTCACCCTCACCACAAGGAGCTAGGAGGAGAAGGAGCCAAGAACAAGAAGATTTCAAGTCACCAAGGGAGAGATCTAGATTCTCCAACATCTTGGAGAGCATATCTTCTTCCTTTTGCAGCCCTTGGTATGAATCAAACCAAGCAAAACCTAGATTTCACTTTCATGAGCCAATTCCTAGGAAATGTCAATTTGTGACCTAACTCTAGTTTGCACCCAAAGTAGATAGATTCACCTAGCTAGATATGCTCCATAGAACACTAGAAACATACCCTAGTGATAGTTTACACATGCAAGTACCATAGGTGAAGATTTAGATTTTGAGTTGGTAGAAATGTTCACTGTCAGTGATATGAGGGAGAGTCCGACGCATTCGCCGGAGTGTCCATCAACACTGAATGTCTTTCAGTCTGCACTTAAACCGAACACATTATAATTCACCGGAGTATCCGACATATTTATCGGAGTGTCCGTTGCATTATGATTCAGAGATAGAGATCCCAGGCTACAGACTTGGTACAGCGGAGTGTCCATCGATTTCACCAGAGTGTCCACTGAATTATTAGACAGAGTCAGTAAGAAACCCGAGTGTGACTAGTTCCTACCTGACAATCCGTCACCTCTGGTGGAACGTTCCGATGAACCTAAACACTTAGCAACACCAACACCCTACAGACCAAACCTGACGGATGGTCTGTCACCCTGATAGAACATTCCGTTGAATTATAGCAAAACCAAAGAGAATTCTCGAAGATACAAACCTAGTACCGGAGAGTCCGTGTTCAGTCGCGAAGAGTCCGAAGGACCTAGTGCTCTATTCTCACTAAGTCCCTGAACCACCGGACGGTCCGACAGTTACACCAAACTATCCGATGATTCATGCTGATAGTCCAATGATGTACACTTGAACACTTACACATACATAGTCAAACCTTAACTAAGTAATATCATTGCATGACATCCCATAGCATGTACCTTATGCATTTGCACTCATCGAGCATCATGCATGTATAGGTGACGAGATTCCCATGGAGGCCGTGGTTGAGGAGGAACCTCAAGCGGTGGAAACCGATGAGCCAAGCGACGACGTCCAAGGCAGGCCCCTATGCATCCCTATGCTTTCTAAATGCATAATGAACTATGGTTATCTATTGCATCAATATGTTACTATATGACTAGATCAACCAAGAGTTACCTACTTGAGCTATCATACCTTGTTGATGCCACAACACTCAACCATTGCTTGAATTTCTTTATTAATTCATGCTTAGTATGCTTAGATCCTAGAGTCGAGTTAATGATGGGTTTCTCATTACTCGCGCGATGTTAGGCATGATTGTCCACTAAGCAACATTAATGGAGAATGATCTAAAACTTGACCAATGATGAACTTATGTTGATGAATGGTCGGCAAGGGGTTCGGTCATGGAAAGAAGGTGGTGATCTCTTGAATGACATAGCTCGCTAACCGATTAAGGACCGTGTATCCATGATAGCAGGTAAGAACATAAAATTGTAGAGACCACTTGCCGTTTATGGGAGTGGCAAGCTAAGTAACTGATCGCGACCGGTCTATCCATGGAACTAGCAAGAAGGCATCGCCGGTTAGATGGTGGTAGAATTAACCGAGAACCAATCAAACCTTTCATGTGATATTCTGGCCGGGTTAGCGGAAGGTTGAAACATCGAGGTATCCCTTTTGTACCGATGGGTCTTACTGGCGATATCCCTTGTTTTGAGTGGGTTAACTTGTACCCCTCCACAGAGTGTTTATTTGAAGGCAATAAGTTCTAACTTCTATATGCGGACTAGTGTTGGTTTTGGAATTTAGGACTCGTGGGAGATCGAGTTCCAACTTGCTAATTGCTTAGTTTATTTACCTATGCTATGCTTGCAATGCTAAGTCTCAAGATTGACTTGTGATTTATGATTCAAATGCTTTTACTCAAAACTACCCAAATGCATGATCCTTGTTTACTATATTGGGTAAGTCCTGCAGAGTACAATTGAGTACTTGTCCTGTATGATTTTAAGTTTTGTAAGTGATGTAGCTCCCCTGCACGGTTTTTCTACGCTCCCGAGTCCCAGCCGGATTAGGAGTGGTGAAGGAGTTCATGTTCCGTAGATGTGTGGATGTGGCACACCCATGCATCAGTTACCAATAAACTATGTTATGTTAAAAGACTTCCGCTAGACTTCGATGTAGACATGTGATGTGTGACCATGTGTGATGAACTAAGGCTTGTAAACTTAAGTACCTTTGAACCTATGATGTAACCTAAGCTTGGTTGTGATGTACTCTCTCTCTTGGGTTGATCTTGGATGACGACTGGTTGCTATGTACATCTTATGGGAGGTGTACTAGGATGACCTACTAAGGGGCGTATCCAGTCTAATAGTCCCTGTTGGACTATCATATTGGGTACTCACTTAGGAGGGTGTTGATCCTGACAACAACAAAGAAAAATGATACCTGCAAACACCATCGCCATCCAAGGCTTTGCCGCAAAGCCACACATCACGAACAATGAGATCTAGTACTCATAAAACATTGGCTAGAGGAAACCCCTAAGGAATGCAAGCTTACAACCCTTCACCATTAGAATCGAGTGTTGAAGATGCCAGACCTTGCTATAGAATAGACCAAAAGAAGAAATCAGAATCACCGCATTGAAAGCCTTGCTTCCCATGAAAAACACACCAATTGCCAAGATCTAAAGAGAACCAACAGATCTGACAAACTATACACTTATTGGCCCCTCGCCGACACCGAATCGAACATCATCGAGGTAGGAGGAGACCGAAGACACCTTATTCCAATACACCATCATCGTCACCACCTCATCAATGATTCTAGAAACTAAACTCTAGATGAACAAGGATCAATAAAAAACTAAATCTATGAAGGGGCTAGATTATGCTTCTATGTCCATCGACGGGTCACCGATTGGAAGAGAGGACGAGAATCGAGGCACAGTGGCATGGGAGTGGCAGCGGCAGCTGTCTCTCTATCTTGTTGGTGTTTTAGATGGACTCTATCAACAAGCTTAGCCCCTCCCCCTTCAATTTGGGCAGTATTGTACCTTGCTCACGCACGAAAAAGGAAACCCACACAAGCCAGTATGCGTCATCATGCAAATAGAAGTTTAGTTAAACAACAAACATGTTTAGTTTAATTAAACATTGAACATGTTTAAATAGTATTGTATTTTTAAATATACATCAAGACTAGATCATCGGAACATGCTCTACAAACAATTTGCTTATGGTGTCCTTGATGACATGACTGTTTGTGTAAGCATCATCTTGCTTGTACATAAACTCCATTGTTCTTGTAAGGTTGAATATTCTCTCGAGTAACTCCTTCGGCACATGATTGTTAGTGTTGAACCATTCCTCGTTAAAATCTTTCCATGTTTCCTCTATCATGTCTTGTATAATCTCACGTGCCACATGAGCTGGTACTTTATGCTCTTTCATGCAGCTCTCGATTGTCGAAGCAACATGACAAGTCATTTTCTCTCGCTGCATATAAATCAATGTAATTCCTTGCTTATACTTCTGGGAAATGTATAACAACAATGCATATACCTGGTATCATATTACATCACTTTATGATATGGCACGGTAAACCTATTTCTAGTAGTAGTATAAGTGAAACTGTAATTTATGATAAGCTGAAACTGAAACTTTACTTTTACGAGCAAGTTCCAAAGGTATAGTATAGATGATGGTAATAAGGAACCCCAAAAAAAGATAGATATTTACCTCATATGATTTCAGATCATCAGAAAGTCTCAAAATAATACAGAGCATCCTCACCAATTTAGGTACATTAGATACCCAATCAAAAGCTTCTTTTGTGGCTATATCTGTCATTCCAACAAACGATGCACACGACAATAAGTGACAGGCACCGCTTCTTGCTGAAACCTGCAAGTGTTCGTCAACTGTTGCAGGGACATACCCTTCTTCACGCCATTTGACCTCCTTATTGTAAGCTCTAACTAGATCTATAATCTGCATTAGTGGTACCTAGCTATTAGTAGGGGTGGTTAATGAGCAAAGAAGAGAGTGTAGCTTAGTCTATTTAAAAAACTCAAGCCTTTGTTAGTCTTGCTACAATGGCGGACCTCCCTTGATTCAAGGCTATTATGTTCATTTGAAGGCCTAAAATTTGTGGCCATATGCATAGAACTTTCTATTATTAACTTATATATTTTTTATTAGAATTCTTATGTAATTTAGGATGTTTGAATGCCCAATGTAGAAATCCTGCTAGGTAGCTCATCATAGTTCAATGTTAGTATTAAGATTACTTAAAGTAGAGATGACATTAAGCAACATGTCCTAATTTCCTCATGTTATAATATCTAAAATGATAATTCGTGATGACATTACGAAATCACCAACATGATTCAACGAATTAATTAGAACATAGATGTTTATAGATTCAGATAGATTTTAATACTATATTTTACTTAGTAGTTTAATGCCATGTTTAATTGAACCAGCTTGTAATGCAACCATAATACTAAAGAAACTAGAGTTTAGTATATATTTTCATATTTGTCAGGCTCATTGAGACAATCGAATACACCACGTGTTGGTTCTGTTATGCTTATAAAAAGTGGATCTAGGTCTTTGTTGAAGAACACCTTTAAGATTATTTACTACATCCTTGGCACAATTTTCCATGAGTATGATAGTAATAAGAGCATGAAATTGGCGCACCAAAAGGGTTAACTTACAAAGTTTTTTAGGTAGGGCATGCAGTACTTCTCCTCAGGTGATAGCTCATCCTCAATGCTTTGATAGGTATCCATAATTTTCCCAAAAATGAACTTCATGTTCTCTGGGAGACCATCAGCCACCATACGGTCCCATCTGGACAAAAGTCACTTGCATCAATGATATAGAATTTACCATTCAGATCCACAAGTGATTGTTGGCAAACTACTTATTTGTCTCATAGTGTTTATTAATTAAATCACAATGAGCAAGCATCAATGAATGATTACTGGACAAGAAATCCATATTACATAAAATTGTTCCAATAATGTTACCATAAAAGATAAAACAATGCGACAGAAAAGGATATGAGATTAAGTATACATACCTTTCTACACAGCTTGTAAATAACTCACACTCTTGTAAAGTTCCATATACATCATAAGTGTCATCCAAAATGGAAACAATGGCAAGCACTTTTGTCAATATTATTCGTCCTCGTGAGTAACTTGGTTCATAATATACTCCTACTATCCAAAAATAGCATTCCACAACTCTATCACGAGCAAATGATAACCTTGATTGAAGTTCCAGGTCCTTCCACCACCTGGATATTTGTTAACCACTATCTTAAATATGAATTGTCATGTCCATAAAGAAAATTTGGAAACACAGAGTAAGCTCTGCCTTTTGTGTGTTGGGTACTTGAAGATATAAGTTGTTTTTAATTAATGCCTTTTGTGTGTTGGGGATACTTCAGATATAGATTAGTTTTAATGAGATCAGTAACTTCACCTCGTAATGATTCTGAGCTCTTGCTGATATTGGAGTTGCATGATATTATAGTTCAACTTCGCAAGTTCCATTATCACTTCATTGGCTTGTCCATGCACAGATATGTAGTACTTGGCTTCATATATTCTTACCCTTCTGGGGAAAGGTATCTCAAGTGCAGACTTCACTTCACGGGCTAATGGCCCTTGTAGGTTGGTTAATACTGATTCTAAACTCCTTTTGGTGAATGAAACAGCCTCATCAAGAATTCTCTCTCCATTAGTCCTTAGATATGCAGCATTGTAAAGGCTCAGTACATCCAATGGATTGTTTGCTGCAAAATTCCCTTGTTCATCTGTGAACTTTGCAAAGACATCTGGAGCATGAAGGAGAGTGATAACGTTATATCTTAATTTTTGACTTGTTACCATTTTTGAAGGTTGTAAAGGGTACTCACTCAAGCATAAATAAGTGATTTTTGGGTATTGTAGCTCAAAAGTGTAAATAGCATATTTGTTACGATGAAGACTAGTGGTCAATGTTTAGAATATAGGGGGTACTACACACTTAACTAGGAATAAAATCCATATAGGATATGCCCATTACCTGGAGAAACCTGATATCCATGTTTACGAAGTAGATAGAACCACAAAGCAGTAGTTTGAAGATCACTCCCACTAACTTCATTAGTTTTGTAAATTTCAGATAGTATGACATTAATCTCCTGTTTGAAAAGATGATCCAGGCAGAGACGTTCCAAAACATTAATGAGTTGCATCCTTTCATACAGGCTACAATTACTTGAAGCTGATATTGTCTTAGACACATTTCTCATCAGATGATTCGCTCGTTCTATCATCTTTGTCAGCTGAGAAAATAAATATTGAATCAGCATATGTGAACTAGAAAAAGATGGCGGTTTTGAGTAGCTAATTGTCCTTATGCATGATTGATGCAATATTCCTTGTTATATAATATTATTATGCATATGAAATATGACACGGTGGCAAATGTTATAAGCACGGCCCCCTTGATTGTTTCTTTTCGAAAAGCACTTTGCGAAAATAAGTTAGTAGCTGGGTATGACCTTCAGCCTGTTCGGTTGACTGTTTCGTATCGTTGCTAGTTCGTTTATGTGAGAAAAGTACTGCTGGCTGGTTCAGATGAACAGTACTCATGTGAGAGGGCTGGCCAGCCCAGCCAGCCCAGCGATCATGCTGCTTGTTGGTACAGAGGCCCAAGCTAAGCTTAATGATCTACCCAGTCATTTTAGAAGCGGTTATTTTCTACCCGCAAAAGGTCGTGTGGTATTTTCTAATAATTCCTCACTTGAAGCGGTTATTTGCAAATAAAAAGATAGCCAAGATGTTGGGGTGGCATGCTGAAAAACGCTTGAATGATGAAAAGCTCAAGCACCCAACGGATGGATGGATCTCATAGTAGAGTTATTAATAACTTCAAATACGAAGTTGTTTGCATGGAATCATACACCGATCATGATGAAGAGCTCAACACCACTAGATCATAGTCTGAGGTGATGAAGAGCTCATCACTGCCGGATCATAATTAAGCTAGATCGGCAATGATGAAGTACTTTCACCATCGGTTTTGAACATATGGTGATAACCCTGCTTATCATTGCCCACTTTCACTAACGATGGTGAAACAGCAGTGAAGGGGCATCTAGGACTGGCGGCAATGAGGTTTCTGAATCAATGAACTGTAGGGACACCATCTTTAATGATGCACATCAAGTAGCTATAAAGATTTTCATGTATTTGTTTGTCTATGCTGATGGGTGTAGGAGTGGATCCGCTAGCAACTAATAGTTAGTTTGCTCGTAGTTCAGAGCTAAAATTAGCGGGCTAATTCTTAGCTGCAAGGTGTTTGAATCTCATTAGCTAATAGGTGGTTAGAGTGCTATTTTATAAAAATACCCTTTTTTTACTATTGCACGGCTAATAGTTAGTTGCTATACTTTATCAATAGGTGGGCACATATATTTTGGTTAACATACCATCAATTAGCTGCTAATATATTAGTTAGGTTCGCCAGCTAATGAGATAGCTAGGTGTCTAGCTAATAGTTTGTTGTCCTATTAGCTATAGGCAAGTTTAATCCACCCAATTAATTTTTAGCAGCTAATTATTAGCTAGTTTGATCTAAATAGGTCACTAACTTGAAGGGTAGGAGAAGAGCAGGTAACAGTTGATACCGGTAGCAACACTGCTACAATATTATTTTATTTTAGCTTATTCTCTCTCGTAAAATACTATTGAATCAGCCAAAATCAGTCGGCTTATGTAGGAGCCGAACGGGGCGAGTTGGATTGCTGATTTTTCTATTGCTATTGCGTGGCCCACCTTCTTACCGGCCGGATGTACACTGCATGAGTAGGGGAACTACTACTACCGCTGTTCCTTGGTCCCACCTTCCTATCGAGGCAGTGAAAATACATTGCTGATGCTCTAAGCAGTTAGCTAAAAACGTACCTGTTCGGTGGAGGAAGCCAAAGGACTGGAGTAGGTGAGGAAGAAATCTCCCCAGACGGACGGTTCAAAATTTGAGACATTCCTCCTGCTAATAATTTGATGTCCCTCTTCGTCCAGAAGGTCTTGACGTGGGGTAGTAGCGGCAGTGGCCCAAGTCCGAACACGGTGGCTCCACGAAAAACACGGGAGTCGCCGAGCCAGCACCGGCTTGGACTCCAAGACGCCGCCGATCAGTACCGGCGGTGGTGCAGCGGCGGAGGCACCTGCTGCTTTGTGGTGGCTCCCCTTGGACCCTACCAGCTGCTTCGCGGGGAGGAAGGCGAGACCGACACACGCGGTTGTCTGCATCTCCAAACTTTGTATAATTATGCGGCTCCTTGAGCACACGATACAACTTTGTGGCACACTTGCAACGTTTATATATAATATAATATAATATAGAGGCCACACGTACATACGGCCCTCCCCTACCACTTACTTCTTCTGGCATTTTCCCTCCACTACCACACCGTTTGCATACTCTAGTTTCACCAGTACATATATTATGTAATGTATACTTGGTTGGAACTTTGTTATGGATTGAAATCGTGTCAACCACCAGCTTGTTTGAATTGGTGTTTATGGACTGAAATCGTGCGAGCCGTCCAAGAGATGAGTGAAAATATGTCGCTCGCTCGCTGAGATCCACACATTTGTTAGCGCACACTGATTGGCTTGCTTTGTTTGGTCCTACGTTGTTGGCACGTCCTGCCCAACTGCTACAGTCCTACAGTTGTGTCGCACTTACATGTTTATGTAATGTATACTTGGTTGGAACTTTGTTATGGATTGAAATCGTGTCAACCACCAGCTTGTTTGAATTGGTGTTTATGGACTGAAATCGTGCGAGAGCCGTCCAAGAGATGAATGAAAATATGTCGCTCGCTCGCTGAGATCCACACATATGTTAGCGCACACTGATTGGCTTGCTTTGCTTGGTCCTAAGTTGTGGTGTTTGGCTGTCCCTCCTAAATTTTAGTTGTTGTCCTATCGGATGTTTGGACACATGCATAGAGTATTAAATATAGATTAATTACGAAACTAATTACATAGTTTGCGACTAATTTGCGAGACGAATCTTTTGAGCCTAATTAGTTCATGATTTGACAATGTTTTGCTACTGATGAAACATGTGCTAATGACGGATTAATTAGGCTTAAAAATTGCCTCAGAAAATCTTGACGGATTATGTAATTTGTTTTTTATTAAGTATCCCAACACCCCACATGCAACATCCTCCCGACACACCTCCTAAATTTTAGTAGAATTTGGATCAAACACCCCACGTCCTACCCAACTGCTACGGTCCTACAGTTTGTGTCGCACTTACATGTTCTATGTAGCTATAGCCTATAGGCTAGACCTCGCGTACGGCACCGCGGCTCTCACTAGTCACCACCACTTGAAAGTATATACCTTTTTCCCTCTCAATATTAGCCATCTCACAACTAGCGGCCTCTTAAAATTTATGCTTACACGTGCACATGCTTCTCAAACCACGTGCATGACTTATCTCATAGCATAGCCTTTCGTTTCGCTGCACATGCTTCTCAAACCACATGTGACTTATCTCATAGCATAGTCGTGTTCGTTTCGCTGCACATGTTTCTCAAACCACGTGCATGACTTATCTCATAGCATAGCCTTGTTCGTTTCGCTGAAATTTGGCTTATACTAATGCTTATGCTGATTTGTTGTGAGAGGAAAATATTATTCGGTCGCTGAAAAGTACTGTTTGAGATTCAAATAAGATACTTGAACAAGTTGATAATTTGTAGTTTTGTTTTGCGAGAGATGTTTTTGTAATCTTTAGGTAGGTTGTTGTTGCTCAAAAGTAATTATGGAAAACACAATCCATATCATATGGCATGTATTTTATGAGTATATTTGAAAGCTTAACATTTCATATGCACTATCTTGTCTTGTTCAACTAGCTTGCAAAACGTAGTGGTGCCAACCTTTCAAAAATATTAAGGTGTGTTCTTGTCGGGTTCATAAACCCGGGGTCCCTCGTGGACCGGTTTCACCAGCAAAGGCTTAGCCTAGTAGACAACGTTGCGAACAACGTGCAACTCCTAGGCTGGCCCAAATACCTAAACGACAGGCCAGAAGAGCGATCCAATCTCCAACCGGAAGGCCTGGCCGAGGAGGAATGATGCTCGCTTCCGACTCCGGCCCGCCTCTCCGACCGGAGCACTCGCTTTCGACTCCGGCCCACCTCCGGACGGCCTCTCCGAACAGAAGGCCTGTCCCATCACCACTTCCGACTCCGACCCGCATCTCCAACCGGGGATACGCCGAACCCCTGGTTACAACTCTTCTCCGACTGGCGCAATCAGAGCCGACTGGGACCAACCGACCGGGGACGTCCGCTCGGTGAGGACTAGGAAACGGACGGAGAAAGTAAGGCAGGACACTCAAGTCAACCACAATACCTACAGGACAGTACCCTGCAACCTTCTTGGCATGTCAGAACCCAAGCAGTGTTGTGGGCGCCGACATTTTCACTACAGTAGTGCGGGCGCCATCAACTCCCATGCCAGACAAACACGGTAAAGCTCCCCCCACATGCCTCTGGGCCTCAACAGTGTTGCGGGCGCCGGTATTTACCGTACCAGGCGAATACGGTAAAATCCCTCACATGCCTCTGGGCATCAACAGTGTAGCAGGCACCGACATCCGCCGTACCAGAAGAAGATGCAACCTCCCACATGCATCTGACACTAACAGTGTTGTGGGCGCCTACAATCATCTTGTACCCAACGGCATGGGCAACAAGACTTAGCATACGTACTCTCTCTCTCTTGTAAGGCCATCACCTTCATCTATCAAAGGGGATGCGCTTTCTCCTAAAAGAGGGAGATCAGTTCACTTAGACCGATCAGTCCACTTACATCGATTCAACACACCACAACAGAACCACTAGGTTCAAACCTCGAGCACATGCTCGAACACTTAGCACATAGCAGAGCTCCCGTCACTCTCGGCTCCTCAGACCAGAGTCCGACCGGACCTCTTGTACCCCCATCTTTCTCCTTCTCATTTGTAACCCCACTGCAAACTTCGAGCACATGGGTTCAAGAAGAAAGTCACTGATCGACTCAAACTGGACGTAGGGCACATTGCCTGAACCAATATAAACCCTGTGTCATTTAGGGCTAGGCCATATCCGATCACAACGTACGGCAAAACTATAAATATTTACGTGTTGGTCACTTTCTACACCGATAGTTCTTCACTTAGCTAGCTAGCATATTATTCTCAACTAGTAGCAAGTACTAAGAATTGATCGTGCGTTGTAATTACGAGTTAAATTTATAAACAGTAGTCAAGATAGCAGACATATCCGGTTGGTTAATATAAAAATGCCCATTAAAATTGAAACGAAAATAGTACTGCCGTTCAGGCTAAGCCAACTTCAGTTTTGGGCCCGTTCAGCCATGCAGGGAGCACGCTTGGATTGGTGGACGTAACTTAGGCCTAGGCTAACTGCTAATTCGGCCCAATTAAGGATGACGTAGAACAAATCAGACCTGTCGGTAGGGTGGACGGACTCTCAAATATACCCGTGCTTTACACTTAAATCAAATAGATTCTAAGGTTTGTAAATAGTGCTACGTGCAATAAAAGATTATTCTCGTATTGGAAAGTGATCGACTGAAGATTGGTTCGACCTAGGCATGTTTGGAAGCGTGTGTATTCACCTCAATTCATATTTGTCGGAGTGGAATAGAATGGAACTTAGTTTAATTTCACTCCAATCCATATCAACACATGTGTATTGAGATGAATACATCACTACTAGAGAACAGACTTTAGAACGATGTCCCAATTTGACATTAGCCTCGGTATTTTTTGTCGTCGGGACTAAAGGACCCTTTAGTCCCGGTTCGTAATACCAACCGGGACTAAAGGTCCCTGCCCAACGGTTGTCCGCGTGGTAGGGATCTTTAGTCCCGGCTGGTATTACCAACCAGGACTAAAGGTTTTAGTCCCGGTTTGAGTGATACCCCGGGAATAAATATTAATCTTTAGTCCCGGTTTGACCATCTAACCAGGACTAATTATGCGGGCCTATACAACGGCTCATTTCTTTCTCCCCGAGCTCGAGCCATTCCATTCAAACTCGCCTCTGTTCTTGACAGCTTTGTTGTTGTTCTTGCTCTCTCCCCCTCCATTGGTGTTGCTCTTCGATTTTGGAGGTAACAAACTTAATCCTCTTATGTTTTATCAGTAGCTTATCTCATTTTGCGATGTAGATGCATGTGTAACTTTATATGTTGGACTTTATTATGATTTTATATGTTATTTTTAGCTCAAAATCACATGATGATTTGCATATAAGTTTGGATAAACAAAAGTTAAATTAGTTCATCAAAATCACGCCATTTCGTCCTCATTTGGAGCACGCGCCATCCTCGTCCCCGGCGGCTTACGTGATCTTAGAATTAATTTTTCCATGAAATGAAAAACTTAGAAAATAGTTAGAAAATTATAGAAAATCCGTACTAGTTGAACTTGCGGACCGTGATCATCTCGGTGAGCATTTTCTCTGTCGAGCGGTAACGGACGTCAAGGAGGAGCTTTGATTCTACGAGGGAGAGCGGCAACGGTCGTGGAAGACCGTGTTCCCTTCCTCGTAGAATCGGAGCTCTTCCTTGGCCAAGTACGGTGCCGTCCGGTGAAGAAATGCTAGCCGAGATGATCACGTAAGCAAGGTCAACTAGTACGGATGGTTATTTATTGAAACATGTTTTTGAGCTATGTGATTTCTATGTCATTTTTAGCTCAAAATCACATAATGATTTACATATATGTTTAGATAAACAAAAGTTAAATTAGTTCATCAAAATCATGCCTCGCTCTTCCTCGCTGGAGCACGCGCCATCCTCGTCCCCGGCGGCTTACGTGATCTTAGAATTAATTTTTCCATGAAATGAAAAACTTAGAAAATAGTTAGAAAATTGTAGAAAATCCGTACTAGTTAAACTTGCGGACCGTGATCATCTTGGCGAGTATTTTCTCTGCCGAGCGGTAACGGACGTCAAGGAGGAGCTTTGATTCTACGAGGGAGAGCGGCAACGGTCGTGGAAGACCGTGTTCCCTTCCTCGTAGAATCGGAGCTCTTCCTCGGCCAAGTATGGTGCCGTCTGGTGGAGAAATGCTCGCCGAGATGATCACGTAAGCAATGTCAACTAGTACGGATGGTTATTTATTGAAACATGTTTTTGAGCTATATGATTTCTATGTCATTTTTAGCTCAAAATCACATGATGATTTACAATAGTAAAATCACTTGATAGTTTGGT